CCACGCCCACGAAAAAGAGGCGGGAGTCAGTCGTCCCGCCGCTGCCCAATGGTGCAGCGCTTCCGGGTTGGGACGCACCCAGGTTAACGCTGTTGGGGCCGAGAGGAATGTTCCCGGAGTTTGTTTACCGCCCCCCCCCTTTTACGCCGGGAGTGACGTCACGCCGACGCGTATTGCCACGCGTGGCGTCACGCAGCCCCAGCAGAGCGCGGGTGGGTGCTAACCGCCGGGGAGTGCCACGAGGGGGGCTGAGGGGAGGGGAATGTCGAGGGGGGATGAGGGGAGGGGAATGTGGCGGGTCCCCAGCTTGAGGGAGGGGCGGGTTACTGAGGGAAAAGGGAATTTCTGGAAGGAAAAGAGAATTACTGTTTTTTCTGACGGAGAAGCCCATTTCTGGTTTTCCTGAGGGAAAAGGAAATTACTGGTTTTCCCGAGGGAAAGGGGAATTTCTGGAGGGAAAACTGGTTTTCCTGAGGGAGAAGCTGGTTTCTGCTTCTTCTGAGAGAAAAGGGTATTTCTGGAGGGGAAAAGGAATTACTGGCTTTCCTAAGGGAAAATTAAATTATTGGTTTTCCCGAGGGAGAAGGCGTTTTTTTGGTTTTCCCGAGGGAGAATCCGGGTTCTGGTTTTCCTGAGGGAAAAGGGAATTTCTGGGTTTCCTGAGGGAGAAGCTGGTTCCTGGTTTTCCTGAGGGAAAAGGGAATTTCTGTAAGGAAAAGGAAATTACTGGTTTTCCTGAGGGAAAAGCGAGTTTTGGGTTTTTCTTGAGGGATTATGTTGGGGTTTTGTTTTTTTTTTTTCCATAGGGAAATGGAAATCTATGGGTTTACTGAAAGAGAGGTAATTTTCTGAATTTCCTAAGGGAAAAGAGAATTTTTGGTTTTCTTGAAGGAGAGGCTGGTTTCTGCTTTTCCTGAGGTAAACGGAATTTACTAGTTTTCCAGAGGAAAAAGAAATTTTCCAGACCAGGTTTTCCTGAGGGAAGGGGGAATTTCTGGATTTCCTGAAGGAGCAACTGTTTTCTGGTTTTCCTAAGAGGAAAAGGAATTTTCTAGTTTTTCTAAGGGGAAAGGGAATTTCTGTTTTTCTGGAGGGAGAGGCAGGTTTCTAATTTTCCGGATGGAAAATGACTGGTTCCTGGTTTTCCAGACGGAAATGGAGAATTCTGTTTTTCTTGGGGAAGCAGCTAGTTCCTTGTTTTCCCAAGGGAAAAGGAAAATTCTGATTTTCCTGAAGGAGCGGCTGGTTTCTGACAATTCCAAGGGGGAAAGTAAATTACTGGTTTTCTGGAAGAATAGGCCAGTTCCTGATTTTCCTGAGTGAAAAAGAATTGTCTATGTTTTCCTGAGGGGAAGAGGGAATGTCTGTTTTTCCCAAGGGAGATGCCAGTTTCTGTTTCTCCTAATAGACAAGAAATTTCTGGCTTTTCTGAGGCCAAAGAGAATTTCTCTTTCCTGGAATTTCTCCTCCTGGAGAGGCCAGTTTCTGGTATTCCTGACGGAAAAGGAAATTTTTGGTGTTCCTGAGGGAAAGATCAGTTCCTGCTGTTCCTGAGGGTCAACGGTAATTTCTGGTTTTCCTGACCCAGGGAGCAGCCATTGCATTCACACAGTTTGAAACTGTAATCCTGATTTTTGCCTCTTTCTTGCAGATCTGTAGCCATGGCGGAGGGGGAGAGGATGAGGCCGCTCCTCCGGCTGGTGCAGGAGGGACGTCTGGACCTCCTCCGGGACGAGCTGCGGCCAGACGACATGCTGGGCCAGGCAGTGCAGAGTTGGCGCCATGGTCGGTTGGGAGACACGCTGCTGCACCACGCTGCCCGTTATGGGCACCGGGATGTCCTCGCCTACCTGGTAGAGGTGCTGGGGATGGACGTTGAGGTGTTTAATAGTGACTACAAAAGGCCCCTCCATGAAGCAGCCTCCATGGGCCACGGGGAATGTGTCTCCTACCTCCTGGAGAGAGGCGCAAGCGTAGATTGCTTGAAAAAGGCAGACTGGTAGGTCACTGGCTTGTTTTGCCATGGGTCAGAGTGATATCTGAAAGACGTTTGGATGCAGAAGGTGGGAATGTAACTGCAGGAGCTATCATTTAGAATTATGGAATCACAGAATGGTTTAGGTTGGAACATCCCTTTAAAGGCCATCGAGTCCAACCCCCCTGCCATGGGCAGGGACACCTTCAACTAGACCAGGTTGCTCAGAGCCCTGTCCGACCTGGCCTGGAATGTTTCCAGGGATGGGGCATTGACCACTTCTCTGGGCAACCTGGACTGGTGTTTCACCACCTTCGTTCAAAATTTCTTACTTGTATCTTGTCTGAATCTCCCCTCTTTTAGTTTAAAGCCATTACTGCTTGTAGTATTGCAACAGGTCCTGCTAAAAAGTTTGTCCTCATCTTTCTTATAAGCCCCCTTTAAGACCTGAAAGGCCACAATAAGGTTTCCCTGGAGCCTTCTCTTCTCCAGGCTGAACCCCCCCAGCTCTCCCAGCCTGTCCT